CCATTTATGTTATTTGCCACTGTGCGTAGTTGCGCACCGTATCAGAGGACCATTTGTGCTATTTGCCACTGTGCGCAGTTGCGCACCGTATCTGATGCCCATTTGTGCTATTCACCACTATGCGCAGTTGCGCACTGTATTAGAAGACCATTCGTGTTATTTACCACTGTGTGCGGTTGCGCATCGTATCAGAGGTCCATTTGTGCTATCTGCCCTGCGCGCTGTTGTGTATACCACACTTGAAGGTCATATCTGAGTGCACAGTATGCGCATCGCATTTGAAGGCTATCTCGTTGTTTCACAACTGTGCATCCCATACTTGAGGGCCATATCCGAGTTGGCAACTGTGCATACCGCACTTGAGGGTCATATCCGAGTTGGTAATTGTGCATACCGCACTTGAGGGCCATATCCGAGTTGGGAACTGTGCATACCGCACTTGAGGGCCATATCCGAGTTGGCAACTGTGTATACCACATTTGAGGGCCATATCCGAGTTTGCGACTGTGCGCAGTCTGCACGCTGCACTTAAGGGCTAAACTCTGATTTTTCTTGCAACTGTGCGCAGTATGCGCACTATATTTGAGTTTTATTTGCAAGTGTTATTTCCAAACAGTGCCATTTCTGACCGATTTCGGACTCAGAGCACAAGTGTCCATTTCAGCTGAATGGATAGTAAATAGCTGATTTTGAGCTTGTACTTGTTGTTTTGATGACAATAGTAGTCTGGCCCAAAGTAAAGGCCAAGTTTAGCATATGGAAATCCTGTTGTAAACAGTAAGCAAAGATCGATTGTCGCTTGACCGACAGATTGAGTATGCGACAAGAATATTAATATTATTAATTTTTAAGTGCGCGCCCACACGCTCCCAGATCAGATATTTATTTTCAGCGCGCCCCCACACACGCCAAGACCAGAGTTCGCGCCCATGCGCGCCCAAGCTTGAGAGTGTGCGCCCGTGCGCGCCCAAGCTTGATATAGCAATTAGAGTGCGCGCCCATGCGTGCCCAAGCTTGAGAGTGCGCGCCTATGCGCGCCGAAGCTTGATATTGCAGTTAGGGTGCGCGACCATGCACGCCCAAGCTTAAGAGTGTGCGCATATGCGCGCCCAAGCTTGATATTGTTGTTGGAGTGCGCGCTCATGCGCGCCCAAGCTTGAGAGTGAGCGCCCATGCGCGCCCAAGCTTGATATTGTTGTTAGAGTGTGCGCCCATGCGCGCCCAGGCTTGAGAGTGCGCGCCCATGCGCGCCCAAGCTTGATATTGCTGTTAGAGTGCGCGCCCATGCGCGCCCAGGCTTGAGAGTGCGCGCCCATGCGCGCCCAAGCATGATATTGCTATTAGAGCGTGCGCCCATGCGCGCCCAAGCTTGAGATTGCGCGCCCATGGGCACCCAAGCTTGATATTGCAGTTAAAGTAGGCGCCCATGCGTGCCCAAGCCTGGCATAGTAGTTAGAGTGCACGCCCGTGTGCGCCCAGGCTGGACATAGTTATTTGAGTGCGCGCCCATGTGCACTTGCGCTGGATATGTGTGCGCCCAAGCTGCATAGTCATCTGAGTGCGAGTCCATGTACGCTCGAGCAATAGGATTGCTAGCAGGGATGATTTGCCATCACGCTCCCATTGATTTATTTCCTTGCTGATCAGCATCACCTCATGCACGTGATATTCTCCATTGCGCAGGGAGCATTGGCAGTTCAGTCCCTGCACAGATGACCTGGTTCAGTCTAGCCCCAGTACATTCAGCACTTACGAGTGGTCCCTGTGCTTGAGATGTTTTATAGATCAGTTGATGTTCAGCCAGGCCCTTCAGGCGGGCATACTTGAGATCAGTTGCTGTTCAGCCAGGCCCTTCAGGCGGGCATACTTGAGATCAGTTGTTGTTCAGCCAGGCCCTTCAGGCGGGCCTACTTGAGATCAGTTGCTGTTCAGCCAGGCCCTTCAGGCGGGCATACTTGAGATTAGTTGCTGTTCAGCCAGCTCCTTCAGGCAGGCCCACTTTTCGAGATTGTAGCAGTTTTCAGCCAGGCCCTTCAGGTGGGCCCTTTCTTCTGAGACAGCTGTTTTTCAGCTGGGCCCATTCAGGTGGGCTTTATATTGAGTTGCCGTTTAGCCGGGCCCCTTCAAGCGGACCCTATATCGAGTTGCAGTCAGGCCATTTAAACAGGCATCCACATTGAGTTGCTGATTGCTATCTGGTCAAGCCTTGGAGGGAGTATTTGCTTTAGAGAGCATACATTCCATCCAAGCTGGCCATTCGTCGTGAGACTACCCCTAAGTGGGGTAGATTGATTGAGAGGTTCTGCTACAGACATGTGGGACACCAGAGTTTCACTATCAGGGCCAATGAGTCCTCGACATCGAGACACACGCTCGTGATCACCTACTCAGTGAAGGGGCAGAGACGGGGGTGAAGGGCACCACATACGACCGGATTGCTGATTACATATTTCGCAGGGAGAGCTATTAGAGGGACAACTGGCTACATGTGGTGTTCCCTCGCGTACCTTCAGCACCTGGGGGCGTGCTCTTCGATTTTGACAGATGCAAACCCAAGCCCCTTAGTGAGTCTCGCAGCAAGGACAAGAGGCGGAAGGACGACCGAATTAGGAGAGAGATAACCAGATCCGGATTCCCAATCACTACATGTGTCCCGAAATCAAAGACAGATGAGTCGGATTTGCAGCCTTGCTCTGTGAGTGACCTTGATCTTGGCGATTATTTTGACTGGGGCACTCACAGGGGTTGAGTTTGTGAACAGCGACAGGAGCGCTGGAGACCAGTGAGCGGAGACGTCGGAGGGCGACATTGAGGAGGATCGCACATCTTCTTGCACGATATCTTCTTGAGGGTGACTGACTTCTACATGTCAGGCAACCCTAGGTCTAAGAAAGTTATTGGTCCCCCAAGAGGGGAGGGTCCGGTCCCATACCTCGGAGACGGGTATAGTCATTTGGTCGGGACGGACTTTGCTATGCAGGTTTATCGAAAGCCTCTTTACGGAGATCGCTTTCTCGAGGTTTCCTACATCTACTCTAGAGGGAGTGGACGTATTGAGATATTGATTGGAGCTTCAGGCGATAACATTCTTGCGGAGGAGCTTTATCTCAAGAGTGTCGCATACGAGGAGATGGCCAGATGCATGGCCTATATCTGCAAGATTGATCCAGCAGCGCCTCTCGAGATCAGCTATGTGGTTCCAGAGTCTATAGCCACACGAGTTTTCGATGCCAAGGAGTCCCAGACGGCAACACTCACTCACGAGGGGGTAACGCTTATTATCATTGATTGAGGTTCTCTCTTTTCAGTCACTATTGATGTATTACGACATTATTATTTATTAGTGACTGCAGCCCTCCAATGGCTGCTCCCTGCATACACTGTGTACTACTCTTCAATCTCGTCTCTCTGGTCATGCTCTTACAGAGTCTGGTTTCTGGTTTTCTCATTTTGTCAGTGTTAATTGCCTTATGATGTATGTATGCATGTTATTTTCCTCCTTATTTACACAGGTTACACTCAAGGCAGCTTGAAGAACTCCTGGATGATAGGGACTCCGGTGACCTTGGGTCTATCCTTTATACGGGGTCAGGTGCAGGCGATAAACCCGAACGCCTCACTCTAAGTCGTGTTGCCGCTGGCAGGCGGGATAACCCTGACTACTCGGCTGTATGATAAAGTGTGACTGCCTCTGAACACACCTCTATTTTTATACCTATCAAAATTCCTGCGTGACAGCCTGCCAGTCCTCCAACCCATTGAGCTCGGTGCCGGGGAAGGACATCTCACCGGACCCTTGAAGCAGTGGGGGCGTGACGGCGTGACCTTCGCATTCTTGCACTTATGCTGGGTGTGCTCATACTCACCTAGTTAATGTAAGCTCCATGCGAACGGCGGTCCCGCCACACTAATCTAAGCCAGCCTTAACCCAATCATCAACTTTGGACTGATTGGACGCGGCCTGCCCTTGACTCTTTTGATGGTCCTTCCCTTGGCCACCCGCCTTAGCCTTTTAATCCCGCGGCAAGGGTGCTACCCTCAGCATGGTCCTCACCGTCATCGTATGGTGTGTCCATCAGGTAAGAAAGGTCATTAACCTCATCATTCGTCTAACCTTCTTCTTCCACTCCTATGGACTCTCCTTTCTTCTTCCGTCTACTGAAGTGTGATATGCCAACTGTGTTCTCAGACTCTCAGGGAGAAATAGCGAATGCCTGGGACAACAATGAGATTCTCAACGGTAGTCGTAAACTCCCTGACTTACTGATTGTGCCAACGAGCTTCTACTCTGTAGATGAACGCTTCTGGAGATAGGGTCTTACCCCAATCTCCTACGCATCGTCCATATTCGGCTTTCGCTCTGAACACACTAAGCCAGTTATCACTTCCTCCTCCGGCAAGGTTCTCTTGGCCCTCACCCACATCGGGACCGATCTCAACCTGAGATTGAGATCCTCCTCCTTCTTTTTACCTGTGTAAGGAAGGGGAGCCCTCTTCGGGGTCTTTGAGAACAAGGAACTTGCTGCTGTTCCTGTGGTGGAACAGGTTGCTGCGGCGGTGATTGAGTAGTTGTCACCGCCTGACTAAAAGAAGAAGAAGCTACAGCCTGTGCTGCTGCTGCTGACAAACCGCTCGGTTGTGTGCCAGCTTGGGGATAGATGCCTATCACTGCCATCTTAGGGAGTGGCAATCTATAAACTGCGAGCAGCCTCGAGCTTAGCTGCTGCAACTGAGTCAATGTCTAATCCAAGGTGTCTTGCATGAAGTCCACTCTGCCGACTACGCGTGCGTGTAGTGAGAGCAAACTAGACCTCAACACCTTCATTGGGTCAAACAACGCTGCCTCATCCGTTGCTTCTAAAACAGTTTTCTCGACCTCTACTCTCTCCAACCTGACTCTCCTATCTCTCTTTCTCCCTGTGCTTCCTGAAGTTCCCTCACTAACCGTGCACGGATCCTTTCGATTTGTTGGAGTTCCCTCAACTCCCGCTGGCGTGGGGTCAACGGGCTTAACTGCGAGCCCGCCATTTGACTGGCGGAGAATAGAAACTACGGTACTAGAGATGCCCGGGGACCAGGTGAGCATTCTCAACTGTGTCCCAAACGAGGTCCCAGACGAGAGGGCAGCATTGGACGCTGCTGCGGTAGCCATTGCAGCTGTGGCGGCCTGTCTAGGTGCTACGTTAGCTGCTGCTACCTGCTGTGCAACTTCTCCTGTTGTTCTCTCGGCCGCTGCTCGTGCACGGACTCTTGCTCCGGCCTTAAGCCGTTGCTTAACTCCAGTACCTAGGATCTCATCGTTGTCTGACCCACTCAACAGCTATGCAAACAGTATCTGCACCACAACTCCCTACTGGAGTCCTACCACAGCTTGTGTCTGACCGGCTCTAAATTTTCTAGAAATAAAATAGGAGTGCGGCAGGTTACTTCACCACTGACAAGCGATCGTCAAACAATATTCACATAGACTGTACACATAATTTAATCCTATCGTTGATTAGTTCACTTACAGCAGCATTAGATAGAACTGGCTATGGTAGTATACAACAGACCTACTCTAATCTGTTTGTGAGGTGTTAGCAGTCTGTCAACCAACTAATCTACAATAAAACAAGACTATGTTGCAGATGTATGAACAATGGGTATGGTTGTGTTTCCAATTGAGCATCAATTAGAACCTACCCTCCCCTCAATCCAACATACCGAATAGCATCAATGAGCAGCGATGTCTTCGTGTATTGTCGGCCCACCCCTGTGCCCAAGTCATTGCCGAGCAAGCCAGCCCATCCACTCTTATTTACCCTCGTACGGAACGAGCCTTACTGCACGGGTTGATCTGGCTGATCAGGAGGGATTTAAGGAGAGCCCCCATCTCCTCAGGAATTATTTAACATCGCAGACAGGACGACGATCACAGCCAGAATCAACACCGAGTCCCCAACCAGAAATGTTTATAGACGGTCTGGTAAGCGTCTCATATGGGCTGTCACACCCGGCAGAACTTCTATCAGCGCAGCAAATCGCCAAAATGGACAGCAGCCATCGCATGCGTGACCTACTCCCATTGGGTTGGCATGGTGACCGTGACCCAAGTACTCCGACCAGGGCCCTTCAGAGGCACCGCCCTTGCTCCATTCAGATGCTTCCGGGAAGATTGTCGTCTCTAAAGGTAGCGCGCATTCGACACCTCACCAAAAGAGAGGACTCTCAAGTTGGACTCACTTCCTCATGGTAAGAAGAGATTGAGAGAGTAGATAAGGTAAGGGAACAACGTACCTGGAGATAGCTGCCCCCAACCACAGATTTCTCACCAATTGAGGTGAGTGTGCATTTGATGACTGGTCTTGGCCTCGATACCACCCACAACGCAATGCAGTGCCACCTCAGCCGAATGCCACATCAGCATGCTCTCATCACCAATCATACATTCCACCTGTCACCACGGCAATCAATGCCGTCTTAGCCTTCCGGCACACACCTCTCTACCCAGGTAGTGCGCCTAGTATGGCCTGACGTCAGAAGAACCAACTGCGAAGAAGCATAGTCAACGCACCAAGTCTGTATAACGCCAGCGCACCAAGGTAAGTGGCGAATCAAACCAGCTCTGATACCAAATTGCAAGGAACATGAATATGGACGAAGCACAGAAATCCAGATTGCAAAATCACACTGCAGTCCAAGTAGTCAAAGCAAGAGCAGATAGCACAATGGAACCGAGTAAMCATCCATTTGAGAACGATACAGAAGAATCTTGAGTCAATGTCCAAGCCCAACAGGGCAACACCAACAGCATAACCCAATGTAGCTCTCTCTCCTGAATGGCGCCAGGCCCCCTATCTACTCTACAGCCTAAGCCTGCAACTACAGCAATGAAAGCAACCAGACAACTTGACGACCAGCGAGTGATGATGTCAACACCAATGCCGACCTCCCACCTCCACCAGGTACGTCTCTCTCTTCACCCACACTCTCCCTT